GAATTGATGATTCAAAATTTCCCAAATTTGAGGAAAAACACTAATTTACACATTGGTGAGCCTCAAATAGGATCAATGCAAAGAAATTCGTTAATATCCATACTCATTATGATAGACATGTTGAAACCCAAAAGGAAAATCTTGAAACAGCAAGTCATCATATACGAGGGATCACAGTGAGAATGACAGCTGATGTCTGTTCAGAAGCGATGGAGGCCAAAGACAGTGCATTGGCATTAAAAGTGCTGAAAGACATATATCAACAACCAGGAATTCTATAGTAAAAAAAAAAAAAAAATCTAACTTTCAAAAGTGAAAGTGAAATAAAGATGTATCCAGGTAAACAAAAAAACAGAGACTTCATTGCTAGCATACTTGCCATGTAAGACATACTAAAAGAAGTTCTATAAATGGAAAGAAAGTGGCAGCAGACAGTAATTTGAATCTTCATAAAAAAAAAAAGAGTTCCAATAAAGGTAACTGTGTAGGTAGTGATGAAAAGTATAATTAAGCATTTCTTTTTCTTTTTTCTTTTAACTGATTTAAAAGGCAGTTACATAAAATAATCTATAAAATTGTATTGTTGGGTCTATAACATATAGAATTGTAATATATTTGACAATAAAACAAAAATGAATGAAGCTATACTGGAGAAAGGGAATGAGACCAGATGGTGTCATTTGAATCCACAAGAAGAGAGAGAGACACAGAGATGGTAAATAAACTTAGCTTTAAAAATCTCTATAAATATATCTGAGATCTCCTTGCTTCACTTCGTAAAAAGACAGAAGTTCTTATAAAGCAATAACTATAACAATGTATTTTTTAGTTTGAAACACATATAGACATCACATGAATGACAATAATAACACAAAAAGGAGGAAGAGATGACAGCATGTAAAATTTCCATGTCTTACTAGAATTAAGTTCATATAAATGGGAAGTAGATTCTCATAAACTAAGATACATGTTGTAAGCCCTAGACCAACCACTAGGAAAGAAGCTTTTGGTTAGTTAATTATATAGTTGTTGTTGCTAAGGTTGACTTAGTCAAGTCTGACACTAAGTCAAGTCTGACGCTTTTGCAACCCCATGGACTGTAGCCCACCAGGCTCTTCTGTTCATTGGGTTTCCCAGGCCAGAATACTGGAGTGGGTTGACATTTCCTCCTCCAGGGGATCTTCCTGACCCAAGGATAGAACCCACATCTCCTGAGTTGGTAGACAGAATCCTTACCACTGGGCCAACTGGGAAGCCCGATTATATAGTTAAGAATCATCAAAGACATTAACATAATATGTTAAATATTCACTTAAAAGGAAGTTATAAAAGTGAAAAAGAGGGACAAAATAGGAGAACTGTATAAGTATTGTTATCTCAGCATTTCATGATGAAGTCTTTCAGTACTCAATCATCTGATAGACTTTAGATCAAATAACATTTTCTTTAGACTCATTTTCCCTCAAATTAGTATTCCATTCATGGTACCCCTTTTATTTGAAATATTTTAAGCAAGTTAATATGAATTCTGAAGCAAATTTATTTTCAGCTGATTTCTATATTAAATTTTCTGCTTCATCACCTTCCCCTGAAAAATACTATGTTAATAATAGAACACACTCACCAAGATACACACAAAGGTATACACTGAGATCCACACTTCATTTTGTACTATTAGATGCTTAACTACATACTCACCTTCTATTTATTCTCTGACACTACCAATATTGACATAAAGATGCATATTCTCTCACTACATATATCTAGAGGGAAAAAGTTGGCCATTAATTTTGGAATTATTTAAGTTGAATGCATCCAAACAACCATTTAATGGCTCACCAAATGCCTTCACATCTTTTAAAAAGGAGTGTGCTTGAGTGTAGGTATCTATAATAGAAAGTCATAGTAGTAACTAATGGTTTTCATAATCATAAACACACAGAGCATTGTGCATAGTAATGTGTAACAAGATATCATTTAGAAATTTGCATCATTGAACTTCCCTGGCAGTCCAGGGGTTAAGACTCTGCTTTTCTGCCACAGGGGGCACGGGTTTGATCTCTGGCGGGGAATTGAGATTCCACATGCTGCACTGCGGAATGGAAAAATATACTAGGTTTCAGTGAACGTCTCTAAAAACAAACAGAAATTTCTGTTTATGTAATTCTGTATGGTCATAAAATACAACTTTGAATAATGACATGTATGTATGTGTCTGTGCAAACATGTACTTATATATGTACACATACACAAGAATACCACACACTGCCATGAAGCATTGCAGATGTACTTTGGGTGCTAAGAAACATGGGTGTGCTTCGGGTATAACTCTCAAAATGTGGCAGAATCATCAAGTATATAGCTGTCTGAATCAGACTGCCTGCATTTTGCTTCTAGCTTTGCCTTTTGTTAGATGTGCGACCTGGTATCTATAAACTATAATAATAGTGTCTTCTTCATGATGTGCTTGTGAGGATTAAATGCCATCTTAATGCATGTGAAGTCTTAGAAAGCGCAGGCAAATGGTTTTAAGTGCTCAGTAAATTTTAGTGATCATTATTGATCTTTTGATTCTGCTCTTTCAGGAGATAGAAGTTTCTCTCGCATCTGGAGCATGTGTTATATTTAGGTTATGCTTCTCATCTAAGAGCAGATCTTCAAAATATGTTTCCATTTTGATGGTGTCTGTTACTGTCCCACCTTTATTTGTGACCCTTAGAGTTTGCAAATTGTGATATACAACTATTAGCATGTCATGGTTTTTACCTGGGTGATGGTTGATTCCTAGGGATGACAGGTGTATTTATACTGTTTTTCATGTACCTTTTGTATGTTGTGTAAGTAAGGTTGGGGGTACGATGATGACACAGACTATTTTGAGAACCTTCCACATCGTCTGCCCAGTCTCTCCAATCTGTTCATGTTCCTTTTATACAGGAAGACAGAAGATGTTTATCTCGTTGTTAATCATTCATTTACTTCTCAATATCTACCCAAATCTGTTGATTTCATTGTAATGTCAAAGCATCTTTGTGTAACTATTCTCAAAATATGCTTGATGCTTCTGTTAAAGTTTGCTATTATCTGGGCATTCCCCTATTTCTTCATTTTTTATATATGGAGATACTGTTTTGTCTACCTATCAAATCTGATGCCATCACTTTTCATTAAAAACTCCACCCAACTACCAAGACCAGTTTCAGACTACCCCATGTACTCTACTCACCTGCATGCTATAGTCTCTGTCTTCTGAATGCCCCTGGCTTTATTGATACACCTTTGCTGGGTCATTTAGCCATTTTAAATTCTAGTAAGGTTATTTATGCACTGATTCTGCCTTCAAGACAGGGATCTTGTTCGCTTCACCTTTTGTACTCTCCACAGTGCATGTGTGCTCAGTCGTGTCTGACTCTCTTGCGACCCCGTGGACTGTAGACTGCCAAGCTCCTCTGTTCATGGGATTTTTCCAGGCAAGAATACCAGAGTGGGTTACCATTTCCTTCTGAAGGGGACAGTGTGTATAGGAAAGTAGCAAGTATCTAGCAACAGCAAGTATTTAATAAGGACCTCTTCAATGCCAGGAACTGAGCTCCATGATGATTGGCTTCATAGGAAAGTGAGTGATGCTCTTGTCCTGTGTTTCCCCCAAAATATTTGCTCAATGAATGATTCAACAAATGTACGTTTTGAATGACGTGATGCTACAGAACAGGCCCTGGACTTGCTATTGGATATACTGGATTAAAATCCAGACTATGTGACTTTGGGATGATAATACCCACTCCCCACCATGAGCTGTGGTTTTCTGTTTGAAAGTAGGAATAATAGACCCACCTTGTGGCATTAAGTGAGATAACATATTGGAGGGGCTGGAAAGCTCATAACCAAAGTATTTGTTTGGATTGGCAAAAAGGTGAGCCGCTCCTTTTCTTATAAAGGTATTGTTGGAATAAAAATAGAATGGCTGGTTTTCAAAGCTGTCCTTAGCTTTTACTGTTGTTCTAGCCCTGGCTCTTATCAATCTTCTTTGAATGGGCCAAGCAGACTCTCACATGGCCTGGCCACTAGGGGTGCTCTGAAGCCTGGTTATGCTGCTGTTCTTTGCTCTTCCAGCACCGCTCGGCAAGTATGTATTTATTTGCTGCGGTGATTCTAAACCGGTCCTTCTCTCAGGTTCTTCAGGAAGTACTCACAGGACTCAAGTTTTGTTTAGTGTCTCACTTGACTTTGTCATATCTACAGTGTAAGGAAGAAAGTGACATCGCTCAGTTGTGTCTGACTCTGCAACCCCATGGACTGTAGCCCCCGCCAGGCTCCTCTGTCCTTGGGGTTTTCCAGGCAAGAATCCTGGAGTGGGTTGCTATTTCCTTCTCCAGGGGATCTTCCCAACCCAGAGATCGAACCTGGGTCTCCCACATTGCCGGCAGACACTTCACCATCTGGGCCACCATGGTGGCCCAGAATTACAGTTACTACCACTTGGACATTTTCACTTCTGCAGAATGACTTCACATCCATTATTTCATTCGATGCCATTGGCAAGTCGGTGAGCATGGTAGAGCAGGGACCAAGGCCACCAGATGTCCTCTGCAAAAGAGGAAATAGACCCTCAGCATTTACGGGGCCTGTGTCTAGCTTAAAAGTGGCAATGGAGATTGAGCAAATGCAAGCCCACGTGTTAGTTGCTCAGTCGTGCCCACCTCTTTGAAGACCCATGGACTGCAGCCCACCAGGCTCCTCTGTCCATGGGATTTTCCAGGCAAGGATACTGGGGTGGGTTGCCAGTCTCTTCTCCAGGGGATCTTCCTGACCCAGGGATCGAACCTGGATCTCCTGCACTACAGGCAGATTCTTTCGCAGCTGAGCTACCAGGGAAGCTCCCAAACACAAGCCACCTGTCTACAAATTTGGCGCATCTCTATTCCACTCTGCTTACCCAGGAGGCGAGGGCAGACACTGACATGCTTCTACCTAACCATCTCTTCCTTTCTCCTCTGCAGAGGCGTCCATCCTGAGCTATGACGGCAGCATGTACATGAAGATCATCATGCCCGTGGTCATGCACACGGAGGCAGAGGACGTGTCCTTCCGCTTCATGTCCCAGCGAGCTTACGGGCTGCTGATGGCCACCACCTCCAGGGACTCTGCCGACACCCTGCGCTTGGAGCTGGATGGGGGGCGTGTCAAGCTCATGGTTAACTTAGGTATCGTATGAAGTACCCTCTGCCACTCTGTTTGGGCTTGTCTTCCCTTTCTTTTCCGATTTTCATTGGTTTGACTGAATTCTTTGTTTGTTTCCTGAAAGTTAGCTGCTCACCTCTTGTTTAATAGACCGAGGATAAAAACCAACAGCAACAAACACCTCCTCCTTGTTTCTGCATGAGGTTTTTGATGTCAATTTCTGGTTTCTGACAGTGGTGGTATTTCTTTACTAGAAGATTCGTTTTCTAAGTTTCCTTTCTTGGTTTTTTGGAATCGTTTAGCTTTGTGTAAAACACGCTACTTTGGTCCATCTTTTGATCAATCCCATTCTCATTAAGTCCAGCTCCTCGGTCACCACTCAAAACAGTCGAAGTTAGAGAGCGGGGCCAGGGCAGGAGATGGAAGCAAAGTGGGAGGGTGCTGTTGGAGGGAACAAAGCCATGTGAGTGGGATGAGAAATGCGTTGTTTGAAGCTCCACAAGGACCAATCGCGTGGGAAATTCTAGTCGCCTTGACAACACTACTGTCTCCTTATACTTTCTCCTAGTAGGGAGGACAAGTCACATGTTTCTGTGGTCCCATTGGGGGAAAATTCTCTGAGTTTAGAGTCTGACACATTGAAGGGCAGAGTGGCTCCTGATATGTATCTCGTTCTTCTGTCCTGACATTCCTATCCTCATTCAGCAGCCCTTTTTATAAAGATGATTAAGTCACATTATTACCAGTTACTCTATTCTCATATAATACATATCAGTTTTCCTTCACGTTGAAAAATTGGCTGTTTCAACTTGTAACTTTATTGAGAAAGGACCTCTTCTTCTACTGTAATTACTTATGATAATACTTTGGGAATTCCTCTTTTTATGGCCTCACATTCTTTTGGGCTAGTGACCTTGACTGAATTCTAATCAATATGCTGTGGAAAGTGGGGACCTCTTGGTTTTTGGAAGGAAAAAAAAACAACCTCTATTTCTGTTGATTCTACTCAATAGAAAGTCAGTGCCTTGTGTTGACACAGCCTAGTTCAAACTTTCGAAGCCTATGATTGGTTTGAGGATGTTGAATATGTTTAGATACACAACTCCTTCCTAAAGATGTCAGTGGGATGGCTTGTCAGAGGCGTGGGGATGACATGATGGACACATGTACCAGATACAACATGGTCCAGAATCCTAGATGGCCTGCTGGGAAGGTGGGAAATCCATACCAGTCTTATCTGCTGTCAGGTCAACTGGTTACACTTGAGAAGTCCCTATTCTACAATCCTAAAAATCTCTAGGACATAGAAGACTGTTTTGAGCAGTGGCTTGTTTAGTTGTGTCTCTTCTTTTTTTTCCTGTTTGCAGCTTTTACAATACTATGCCCTTTTTCTTTTCCAACCACATTTGATTTCTGTTGTCAGCGTGTCTCCTGGTTTTTCCTTTGTGTACATGTGTGTTTGGTTATTTTGGGTTTTGTTTTTTTCTCTTTTGCTGGATCTTTGTGAGTGTTCTTGAGTTTCCAGTCCTTCCCACCATCAGCCATGGTAAATCAAAAGATGGTATTCAACCCTTCAAAGGCCCCAAGCCTGCGGCCCGCATAGCAAACAGCCCTGAGAACAGGGTGTACTGAGCAGCCTCCGGGGGCCGGCATTCCCCTGTCCCCTCCACCTGCCCCTCCCTGCTCCATCCTCCCCACCTGAAACCACCCAACCGGAGTGCACACCTGAAAACCAACCCCCAGTGGCCGGCTGTCAGTTTCTCTGGAAAGCAGCAGAAGAAAGTAAAACCAAGAACAACCCCTTCCCAAACCAAAATGAAAACAAATATGGCCTCCTACTTAGCTCCCAGAAAAGAGGATTTAGCGTCAATTTTTAACCATCTATTTAAGGTAAGAGAGAGCCAGAGACATAAATATTCAGCCCTTTGGGGTTCTAGGGAAATGCACATTGGCTTTAAGTAGATAACTCTTTTTTTTTTCTTTTCCATTTTAGATGTTGTTTTGTAAGATTAAACGGCCAACTGTGACAGGTCTCACATCTTAGAAGGAAAAATGGAAGTGGAGGGAGATAAAAGGGGATGATTCAGAAAGATGAGCAGTTTCTCTTTCTCTCCCTGTCTGTCTCTCTCTCCCTTTCACTCACACTCACACACACACACACACACACACACACACACACACACGGAGTCATAGATTTCAGATGTATTACGAGAAGCATTATTTTTCCATTTTAAACTTTCATGAAAATCTGGGGGATGTACATTTTTAAAAGACTCTGCTCTAGCCTCCTGGCTCCTTTCTGCACATGGCCAGTGTAACTCCTTCTGGGTTGAGGCATCGTAGGCAAAACAGAGCGAGTCTACCCTGGAATGCACTGTGCTTCCCTAGTAACAGTGGTGATGTTTTTCTCTGAAGGGTATGGTTCACCACAATTACTAGTTTGAATTACATAGCTTTCTTTCAACCATAACATGGAAACTAAACTTAAATTCCTTGAAGTGTACGTACACACTGCATACTCATGCTTTGTTTGAAGCTTCTGTTCCCCTCTCTGCCCACGGTATACCCACCCCTTCATAAATGCTTTCTTTCTCCCAGTCATTGATTTGTTTACCCTTTTTTGATTATAATAGTAAACATCTCCAAAGAGCATGTACATTTATGTACAAAATTTCCATCACTAATTTTAGATGATCCCTCCCTCCATTTAAGTTATGTCTCTTTTCTAGCACAGGTGCTAATGATATTCCAATTTATTTCAAATTGTTCACACATATAAACTCATGATATACATGTCTGTATTTTCCTGCTGTAATATATCTTCTAAATGTCAAGGAGACTAGACTTTCCAAGGGTCTTGCTTTTTGAAGATGGCCAGCTGTGGCAATAGCAGGCATGGACAGTGTCCAGCTAAACATAGCAAGCTTTTTAAAGCTGTGAGGTTGACTATTGACCAATCAGATCTTGATCTCTTAGTATTAAAAGCTATAATCACAATTTTAATATTATAGTATTTTTAAATATTTAAAAACCTCATTTTAATCCCACAGTAAGTTTGTGAGATCAATCAGTTAAATGTTTTTATGATTGCTTGATAGACATGAAACAAAGAAAATAGGTCACAGAGGTGGGACCACCCCTGTTTCTAAACCACTCGATCATCCTGGGTTATCCGTTACCTCCAGAGATCAATACTGTGGATCAATGATGTGACGGACTTAATGACTTCTGACAGCTTTCATGATGGTCACCTTTTACACATGCACAGAAGGCATCTTTTGCCTTACTGCTTGGTTTGAGTGGAGCCAAAAAGTCCGTCAGCATTGGTGCAGCCTCATTCACGGGCCTGTAGAATCCTCAGCAAGATGCAGGCCGCCCTTCTTCAGTGGCGGAGGCTTGTAGGCAGTGTCATGCAGCTTGGTTAATTGCTTTCAGATTCTCCAGATGTTCTGTCTCGTTGGAAGCAGGGAAAGTAGGTCACAGAGGTGGGACTACCCGTGTTTCTAAACTACTCAGGCATCACGGGTTTTCTGTTACCCAAGCAGAGAAAATACTACTGTCTACTGTATCCATCACTGAAGGCCCATAGCTCCTAGAAACATTCATCTCTTCCTTGCTCAAACCAAAGCTCATCAATATAGAAAATAACACTTCTCCTTTTTAACTAAAATGAAACAAACAAGCAAACAAACAAAACCAAAACAGAATGAACAGCATACACACACATCCACATCCCTCAAATCCATGCCAAGGCTCAGGCAGAGAGAGAACTTCAGCTGTTACTGGAGCTCTAAGGGAGATTGCCTTTCCAGGACAGTTCTGATTCATTTTTCATTGAAAAGTGCATCCTCACTAGCAAGACCACCCTCTCAGACCCTATGAACAGGGGACTGGGGTAGATTTTTCTTTCCAAGCGTATGCTTCAAGTAAGGTTGTAACAGATCATTCTCCACTTCTCAACTGAACACACCCAGCTGTTTGCTGTCTTGAAAGCTCCAAGTCCTCACACTGATTTAAAGACACCATTCAGTTTGTGGGACCATGTGGATGAACCCAGAAAGACAAGCCCGACCCAGCATCTCTGCCTAGATCAGGTCCTTGACAGAGATGAGATCCTCAGCGGCACAGAAACCCAAGCAGAAAGCCACTTCTTATTTAAGGTTCTTGGGTTTGTTGCTTTAGGTTCCCTCTTTCCTTCTCTGAAGCATGCCCACACACCTGCTTCCCCTCTTTCTTGAATCCATGAGGGAAGGGCGTTTCTCCGGCAGCTGAGACCTCGCATCTTCCTGCCTCCACCCTCCCCTCCCCGGTCCCCACCAGGGGCATGGCCTCCTCTGAAGGTGATCGTACCAGATGCTCCAGGGCTGTTTGCTCCCACTTTTCTGTTGCGGTTGACGACACATGACAAACCTAACCGCATGAAACCAAACCCAGATTTTTCTCAAGAGATGTTCTGGGGAACAAATTAGCTTCCCACCCCCACCTTCCTCAGGATGCTTGGGTGTTATAAATTGCTCCTCTTTGGACCACATAGTTTTATTCTGCCCCATCACTGGCCACTGGTTTCTTTCACACTAACTTGCTTAAAGTGATTTACTTTGGGACGTTTAAAAGGTGGCATTATCTTCCCGTAAGCCCTCCAAAACTACTGGGTTAACTTTAGCTAGAAGAAGAGAACAGATTCTAGCTGTATGTTTTTTACCTGTAATTTTCTCTCTTTCCTTGATTATTTCCCTTTTACATTTTAATATCTAGCTTGAAACACATTCATATGTGATTTCTGATCATCGTTAAAAAAACAAACTTAGGTTCAGGTGGGCAGCCTGCTAACAATGCACCTGAGACACGTCTCTGACCATTCTGCCCAATCACCTGCCCGTTAACTCTGCGCTCAACCTTCTGCGCTGTGTGTCCATGACTCCAAACAGATACTAATAAAAGGATAGACGCTCTGACCTCTGGCCCCAAATACCTTTTCTGGTGACCAGAACTGGAAAAAAGTAGCCATCTTTTTATTCCATTTCCCCCCTACTTTTTTTTTTAAAGGGATTTTCTCTCTCCAAGATGCAGGGTCACAGGATGGGATAGGTCGGATGTCAAAGGTGCCCAGGACCACCTCCCCATGCACCCAACTCGCCTTCTCCTCGAATGCTGTGGGCGCTTGATTCAGTCTGAGTATTCAGGCAGGAAGACGGAGATGGGCTCCATGAAGGGCTGGTCTGGGGGCCTTTGAAACCACAGCAGAGACCCCAGTCAATTGGGCTGACGTCATACAACTCCTTGTACCCAGCACCAGGCCCCGCCTCTCTAAAATCTGGGATGGGTGTTTGTGCGGTTAGCTGTTTGCAAGTGGCCATTTTATGACAGGAAATGACCAGGTGGTGTTAACCCTTTCCTGACCAGATGGCAAAGGCAAGTCTGCCTATGTGGATTTCTATCGCATTTGGGGCCTGACTTAAAGAGGGTGGAGGGAGTTTGGTTTCAGAAAAAGAGAAAGGGTTAAATACTGCCCTGAGAAACAAAATTTTAAAAAATGATACACTACGTCAGACTGATGATATTATCTTTGGAATATTAAAGCAAAAATTGTATTTTTGCTACTTTTAAAGAGCAATTTCAAGAAAGACCAATTATAGAGGGAAACAAAATATAACCTGCATTTGGTGGGGAAATTTTTGCAGTATTTTCCAGGTTTAACAAAATTAATATTTCAAAGTCTGGGTTTGAAATACTTTAATAATAATGAACAGGATTTTTGAAGGAAAAAAAAAGAAGCATACTTGGTGTCTATCGTGGATATATATGTATACCAGTATATATCTCTATACATATGTGTATATATATGTGTGTGTGTGTATATATATATGTATCTGACTTTACGAAACAATATACTGTACATATACACCCACCCTTAAAGTTGTGCCTACTGTATATATATATATATAAAATGGCCACATTTCTTGCGTGTGTCTGTCCCCGGAAGGGTGGACTGATTGTTTTTGGATGTCTGCAGCTGTTACCTTGAAGGATGCAATTTCATCTTTCATTTATTTTTCCCCATCTAGACTGTATCAGGATAAACTGTAACTCCAGTAAGTTTTCCCTCAAGTTTCATTTTGTTCTTTAAAAAAGAAAACTGACTTTGTTTTATTTACTGTTTTATGAGCTGTTTTTCATTTGAATTATTTTATTTTTTTGACGATGGAGTTGGGGGGAATTGGGGTTGACACGCTGAAGGGCTGGGGTGATGGTTTGGGCTAAGTGTGGCCCAAGATGTGGTTTCTGGATCAAGGCAGGTCCTCTCTTCTTTCCTTGCATTGGTTCTATATGCAGAAAAGGAGGAAAGGGCACCTGGCTAATGAAATACCTTGAAAATGAATTGAAATGGTAATTTGTTGTTTTGGGAAAATAACTCTCAGGGCTAGACAAAACGTGTTAGAGCAACCGCAATGCACTTCTCCACTCCTGAAAGCTTCAGAAAATGAAAGCAAGGTTCATGACCCACAAGCTGGCTGCCAACTCTGACATTTCTTTCCTGGCATTTATTGCTATAGGGTTGAACATTTTGTTTTGTTTTGTTTTTTGTAGGAGGGTGGGCACAGCGTTGCTTTTGATAATAATGCAACATTTTAACCAAAGACTTGAGATGCCTTCATTTTAACCAAAGACTTGAGATGCATTCTAGTTCTTCTGAATAAAGAATGGCAGATTATTATTTTTACCTTATCCTATTTAAACATTCCTCCTCTTGAAGAAGGATCTTAATGAGGAACAGGCTGAATACTACTCACACATTTCTTCCTTCGTCTGAGAAATGCACATTAACTTGAGTCATGAAGTAGGAGAATAGGAGGAGAAAGAGGAAAGATGGATGTGAAGGAAAGAATAGGACCAGATGATAAGAGGAAGAAAGTAAGAAATATACTTTTGAGTCCTATAGCATGTTATATAGGTAATGCAATTAAGTAATAATTAAGCAACTTGGGTAATCGGTTAGGGCAATTAGCTACAACAGGCAGTCCCAACATTTCAATGGCTCAACAGAAAAGATTTCATTCTCGTTTGGTCAAAGTTTAATGCCAGTTGAGCAGCTCTCCTGGTCAGTTCTCTTCAAAGAAATAATTCAGGCATCTAAGATTCTTTCATGACTTGGGTTCAACAATCTGGAGTTATTTCTTTACTTCCAGTTGTACCCACAGGGAAGAGAGAGAGAGAGCTTGGGTGGTTCAGTTCAGTCCAGTCACTCAGTCTTGTCTGACTCTTTGTGACCCCATGAACCACAGCATGCCAGGCCTCCCTGTCCATCGCAAACTCCTGGAGTTCACCCAAACCCATGTCCATTGAGTCAGTGATGCCATCCAACTATCTCATCCTCTGTCATCCCCTTCTCCTCCTGCCCTCAATCTTTCCCAGCATTAGGGTCTTTTCAAATGAGTCAGCTCTTCGCATCAGGTGGCCTAATTATTGGAGTTAAAAATGCCATACATTCCTTCTGTTCATATTTTGTGAGATGTAGTTCCATCTTAAACTCAAAGGAAGCTGAGAAATACAGTCTCCGTGTGAAGCAGGAAGGCAAATTTGGATTGATGAAGCATCTCAGTTCAGTCACTCAGTCGTGTCCGACTGTGACCCCATGGACTGCAGCACACCAGGCTTCCCTGTCCATGACCATCTCCTGGAGCTTGCTCAAACTCATGTCCATTGAGTCGGTGATGCTGACCTGACATCACCAACTCGATGAAGCATCAAGCACATATAATTCTCAGTATTATCTCCTCATTTTTTGCTTCTTTCCTTGCTAGTTTGTTTCTGTAGGAATAAACTCAAAAAAAGGAAGTAATCGTTTACATTTCATTTACTTGTTTATCTCATCCTTTAAAAAAATTTAAAGGTGTTAACTGGTTTAACCTTCTTTCTTCAGAGATACACTATTAAGATGACCAACTAATAAAGCCCAAGTCCATTTCTTAGAGACAAATATTCTATACAAATGAACAACAAAAAGAAATGTTAAAAAAAAGATCAATATAAACAACAACTTCTTAAAGTAGAGTGCTTTCTGTTTGTCTTGGCATCACTTTCAGTTAATTTAAGCAATGTCCTATTTTGCTGTGTTTAAACATTTCTAATTAGCCAGAAATTTCTCATGATATTTAGATCATTACAAGTCTAATTGAAACATCCATTTTCTCCAAAGACTGGCATTTTCTCTTTCTTTAAGTAGCTTTCTTGAGATATAATTTCTATACCACAAAATTCATCCATTATAAGCCTGCAATTCAGCGATTTTTTAAATTGAATTTCTAGAGTTGTCCAAATATCACCATAGTCGACTATATCCTTAGAACATTTCCAGCACTCCCCAAATTTCTCTTATGTCCTTTTGCAGTTAATCCTTGTGCATTCCCGTAGTCCTACACAGGTCTTGATCTGATTTTGGCTCTAGAATTCTGTCTTTCCTGGACATTTTATATAAATTGAATCATATAGCATGTAGTCCTTTGTGTTTGGACTTCTTAAATAATACAGTGTAGCTATGGAAATTTTTGTCTTTTCATTTTGCATTAGTTTCCAGAAGGAACTAAAATGAAAGCTGAGCATGAAGGTAGAAAACCTCATCCAAAGTTGAAGCTGGCATCTTCTGGCTTCAGAGACTTGTTTGCAGAGCAGAGAGCTGAGGGAGCACTTTGATCAGGATATCAGGGCCTGCTTTTTGTGTTCTAGTCAAGTTTTATCTTACATTTAATTCCATATATTCCATCTATTTAGCCATGGAGAGTCATCACAAGACAAGTTCCTGGGTTCTTTTTCCTGGGAAGATGATGAGTATTCTACAGATGTCAGCAGATTTCCTAAACCTGATAAAAGATTTTCTATTCAGAGCCACTAAAACCAGCATTGAGAGGAAATGCACACAGAGAAAAATGTGGTTCCAACTTTGATCACAGAATAGAAACAGTAAAACTGGTTTAAATCAATATTTAGGTAAAGAGGCACGACTGGATTTTGAAAATTTGATTTTGAATTCTCATGATAAATCTGTAACATACTAAGGAGGTTACTTTTGACAAAAGCATCAGAGAAAGAACACATAGTGTTAGCTCCTCGCACCCAGGCTGAATAGAAACACACACACAAGTTCTTCAAACTAATCTAAGATCTTTCATACTAAGATGGGTAGATATGTACCCAGGACGATGTAACATTATAACGTAAATTCAATGCATTTTCTTGAAGTTAATTTTAATTGTTGATTTGGAATAAATACTTGAAAGCAAAGTGAAATGATGCAGAAGAATGAAAATAAACATGAACCTTATTTAATATGTAAATCTTCTTTTTATGTTTTAAGAAAAAGGATAAGAATTCAAAGACATATAATTTTTATTGTGTATTTTATTTTATTGTGTATCTTCTCTATTCCATTCCCAGCTTTATTGGCACTTGAGTGGAAAAGTTTAAGATTACACGGCTAAATGCCAAGGTAAAACAGATAAAGGGGACAAGAACTTCTCAACGCCTCTTTTTAACGCACATGATATCAGAATGCATAGTTCAACCTGTTAACAGAATCTCAAGTTGTTTCTGTAATAGGTATGCGGATCCTGTCTCTTACACAGGGTTTCACTGTAACAGTATAAGAAATAAGATTGATTTCCAGCTGAGTGTGAGGAGGAGAGGGTCTCTTCTTACCCCTGAGATCCAGCTGCCATTTCAATAGCAATCTTAAGGGGTAATGGCTCAAGTTTCAAAACAAAAATTTTTTTTTTCTCTTGAAGTGACACAGTAAATTAAACTTTAACCAGGTTTAAATATAAGTTCATAAGCTCTTCCGGTATTTTTTTTTTTTTTAGAATTCCTGTCCTTAAAGAAGTCAGGTAAAAGGCTGAATGACATTAGCAGGTTTTTGTTTTTTTTTAATCTGCCTCAAAATAGTTTGTTCAAGGCAATGGCTACCTCCAAGGGTCTGTGTGACTGTCTTTTTAACAGAGAGAGAACATGAAAAAGAAGGACCGTCTTCCAATGTGAAGAGAAAGCCACGGAACATGATAGAGGGCAGTGGTCTCCAGACGAAAAGCCTTTTCCTTTTGGCTTTGCTGCCTGGCGCTTCTGTCAGTAACTGACCCAGCTCCCTGATGAGGGTTTCCAAGCAGCAGAAACAATCAGGTTCTCTGCCTTTCTCCCTTTCTCACCTTCTCTTTTCCAGTACTTTGTCATTCCATTACTCATTCCAAATCTCTACTAGCCCTGCTCTCCCAATCCTGCAAGAACACCACACCATAAACTCTTCTCTCGCTGCTGTCACTAGACATTAATAGAGAGCATGCCAATCAAAGTCTTTGGTTGAACTGGGGACATTTCTGGGTTTGATAGATTCATCTGACAGGGATATTTAAAATTAAGTAGTAAGGAAATTTCCAGTCTAGAATTGACTATAAAATTGCCAAAGAGCACCAGAGTTGGCAGTCATCACGGTGGATTGAACTCCAGGGTGCCCTAGAGCACAGCTGAAGAAAACAGGGCTGCTTTCTGGGAATTTCTGGAGGAAGTCACCATCCCTATGGTCCCCATTCCATGAGGCTGGCTGTACCTAAGAGGCACGTGGTTCTGAAAACAGGTATGAACTTCTTATTGATTTCGTGGGTGTTTGCTTGGATGAAAGTCTGTAAAAATGGTTCATGGCCTTTAACCTCGTCTGATTGGGACTCTGGCCTCCAGTTTCCTAATGCCTTCTTCATCTGTGTTATCTGAATGAATGCAGTGGCTTCATATGGATTAAATATGAGTGTAGCATGAATGAATATGTGTGTTCTGCTAAGTCACTTCAGTCATGTCTGACTCTTAGTAAATTCAATGCATTTTCTTGAAGTTAATTTTAATTGTTGATTTGGAATAAATACTTGAAAGCAAAGTGAAATGATGCAGAAGAATGAAAATAAACATGAACCTTATTTAATATGTAAATCTTCTTTTTATGTTTTAAGAAAAAGGATAAGAATTCAAAGACATATAATTTTTATTGTGTATTTTATTTTATTGTGTATCTTCTCTATTCCATTCCCAGCTTTATTGGCACTTGAGTGGAAAAGTT